CAGCCCCCAACACACACACACACACACACACACACACACACACACACACACACACACACACACACATGTCATGTCAAAAGACCCTACCGATGCAAACTGGGGGGAGTAACCAAACAACCTCAGTTCTCAGTTTGTTGGCACTAAGCGTGCCCAGGCGGTCAGTGGGGATTGAGGCCTTGCGCGTGGGAGTCTTCTACAATGTTCAGTGGAACAAATACAAAAAGAAATGAAGGGGTAAAAAAACAAGTACAAGATAACATTGTGGTGGTTTCATCTAGACTGAAATGTGCCACAAATACAGTCATAATGATGGGGGCCCGGCGTTCTATTCGGTGAAGACCGCAGCGTCTTCCATCCCTTAACCTTAGGAGGGGGGTATTGCCCCCATTAGCAAAAGGGTTCAGAGATAAAACTTTCATGAAAAGCCACTGCTACCCAACATAACGCACCCTGAAAATGAACGTATGCAAGGCATGTTTCCGGCCCGATACAGTCAAAAAATGAGGGTGCGTTGTGTTCGAGGGAAGACGGTAGTGCTGGTAGTCCAACCTGCCCTATTTTCGCCGTCCACAGCACTCGCCAACCACCAACATTTTGAATGTTTCTGGACATGCTATAGTCCTGATGCATTCAAAATGTTGCTGTTTGGCGATTGGTGCAGCGAGCCCCTTTGTTTCAGCACCAACATATACACAGGCTGGGACTTTTGGGTCTCGACCTAACACTGGGACGGCGAGGTCCCAATACCATCTTCCCCCCCCCCCCCCCCTGAATACAAGGAACCCTGATAACGAATCTATACGAGCAATCTTTCCTGTCATGTGCAGCCAAAATTAGGGTGTGTTGTCTTCAGCGGAAGACGGCAGTATGGATTAAGGGATGATAAAGGGATGATAAAGGGCATGAATTTCCGTTATCTGGGGCCAATATATCTCTTAATCCGTGCGAGTGGGACCTTGGCCCCAGATGCGTTTGGCTGGTGGGGCCAGCCAGAATGGGAAATTTCAAAAAAAGGACTTTTTTTTTTGGCCGTGCTGCACAAATCCACCTCGGGGAAAAGAGGCTCTCATGTACTGCATCTAGTGTCTTCCTCCTCCGAACATAAGGCATATGCGTTGTATTCGAGTTCGAAAAGAAAAATAAGACGACTCGAATAGAAAGCAAATGCGTGGTATTCGAGTATAAGGGATGCTCGAATAGAGCACACGTGTTGTATTCGAATAGAAAGCAACCTATGCATTGTATTCGTATACATTCGAGTATAAGGGATGTTCGAATAGAGCACACATGTGTTGTATTCGAATAGAAAGCAACCTATGCATTGTATTAGTATACAACGCGTGTGTTATGTTCGGGGGAAGAGTGTAGTCATGTGGGACCTTGTCCCAGATTGGTGACCAGGTGCACTGATTGACTGATGACAAGTGCGACCTGTGGAGGGGATGCCCAACACTATGCTACCCTTGGGCCCCCCAACACAAAGGCACCAAGTAGATCATGAATGTATGAATGCATACAAGCTATCTTGCCAGTCCGATACACTTATGATGAGGATGCGTTGCGCTTGGTGGACGATGGTAATGGGACTGAAACCCTGAAACTGTCTTCCCCAGAGAGATTAACTCTCACCATAAATGTATACAAGCTATCTTTCTGGTCCCATACAGTCACTTTGGGGGTGCCTTGTGTTCGGGGGAAGCCAGTAGTGGGACTCAGACCTTTTCCCTCAGAGAGCCAAAGGACAAAAGCTCACAAATAATTTGGAA